CTTGTCTTGCCCGGAGGTTGTGCCAACCCCGCCGGGGCTGAGCGGTGGCTGTGGGACCCCCACACCTCACCCATGGGAGTATTTTTGTACATTTTTATCAACTATTAAACATTGTCTTCTAGTGTGTACTAGTATTTATTTCTAGTTTTAAACAATTACTGATTGTTGTGCTCACAGTAACTGTTGCAAGAGTTGGTAGAGTTCTGCTTCCTTTTCAGGGCATTTTTTCCTCATCTTTGCTCGCAGTTCCTAGCACATCCAACCCCAAAAGGTCTGATTCACGCAGTGTAATTTCTTGCTAGAAAATTCTTATAAATACCCTTGGAGAGTGAAATGAGTCGGTTGAAAGGGAAAGCGCTGGCTGCAGCTGCTCCGCTTTCCTTGTGGGGCCTGATGGTGTTTTTCCCAGGCCGTGGCACTGGCCGGATGCTCGGGGCTGAGCACCCTGTGACATGGGTGTTGTCCTGCACAGCCCGCAGCAGCTGCTCATTGCCCACTCGCTGCCTCTCACTTAGGGCAAAACCACCCAAGTTTGGGCAAAAGGGAGGTGGGTAATTCTTTGTAGCCAGGTGTTTGTTCAATGTCACGTCCGGGCAGTTGGGGTGCTCGGGGCTGGGTTCCCCGCAGCCTGCGGCTCGCCCAGGCGGGGCAGGGCGGGGAGTTGGGACCATTTGCGATCGGCCCTGAATTCACGTAGAGATTTTGCAAACCTTGTGAGGTCACTGTCCTGGATTTACATCTTACCGTGGAAATGCATAGGCAGCGTAGCAGGTAGCGATGCCCTGGTGGAGAACGGGGTTTAGCGAAGCTGAGGCTTAGCTCGGTGTTGGTTTTATGTCGCTGCAGAGCTGGGCGCAGCGGCAGAGCCCTGGGCTAATGCAGCCTTTGACAGGGCACAATGGTTTGCAAACGCTTTAGAACTGATGTACGCTATTTTGTAACTGGTTTGCATTTCCAGAACTTGCTTAAGGAAAAAGTGTTTCTAAATAAATACTATTAAAAGGTTTGCCTTTATTTTTCCATTAAAAATAAAAAATCTGTAAATGTAAATTAATAGTTTTGTTTGTATGTCTTAATTGGATCATCCAAAAGAACTGCGTCTTAAAAGGCTGCTTTCAAACCAATCCAAAGGCATCTTTTAGTTTCTAAAATGAGTTCAACCTTTTTTGCAGGTTTTTGCAGTTTTTTGCTTTGCTTTTTTTTTTTTACCCCTCTTTCCTGTTTTGCTGCCTCACCTTTTGGGGGTGGCCTGTCGCTGGTCTGGTAGAAACGCGGTGCCTGCGTAGCCCTGTTGTTGTTTTACATGGCGACTCTCCTGCCCGGCCAGCCCAGTGAGGCTCTGAGCTCCAACTGAATTTCTGCCTTGAAATCGAGAGGACTTTTAGCAAGAGCTGTGATTTTACAACGTTGCTGGTATCTATCGCAGCCTTTAAATTTGCCTGAGTTGTGCTGGTCTGCGCAGCTCCCTGTCCCCTCGCAGCTCCCGCGGGGCTGTCAGCACCCGCTCTCACCCCATGGGCCGTTTATTTTGTTAAACCCTTCTAAAAACTCAAGTTGAATTTTGGCTAAAGCATGAAGTTCTTCAGGTTTAGGCCTTAACTAGTTGTGCTGTTGTTTTTCACATATTTATGGGAACAGACGAACCACCACTCACTTTCCCCGAGGGGTTCTGGCATCTGCTGCAGCCCTGTGTCCCTGCGCCAGGCACCTCCCTGCCCGGTGCCGGACCAGCGACCCAGCGAGTGCCCGGAGGTCGGAACCGAGGAGTGAAGGAGTGGAGTGAAGGAGTGAGTGCTTTAACTAAAACCCCCGGGCAGCGGGCAGGCTCTCCCTCTGCCCCTGCTGAAAGCTCCGGCTGTTCACCTGTCCAGCACCACCCCAAACGTGACAAACCCCCCTGGGCTGACTGCCTAGTAGTGTAAATAGTTTATTTGATCTTATGCCAGGAACAGACCAGGAAAGTAACATGAACTGCTTTTATAAAACACTTCTAATATTGCTAAGAAGCAGGTCTATTACTAGAAAAATATTAAAGAGAACATGCCAGCGTTATGTTCTAGTGGTACTGTAATTTTTGTCTCCAATTAAAAAAAAAAATACCTTTGAGCTTAACAATGTGAGTGCTAGTGCTTTTAACCATTTGCCTAAGAATTTATTAAATTAATTGTCAAATTTTCTTACGCAGATTAAACTACCTCTCTGTCACTGTCAGTGAAGGAAGGCGAGTTGGCATGTTCTCTTTAGCATGTCAAGTACACGTTGCTGTAAATGCAAGAAGGTGGCAGTTTCTAAAGTAAACTTCCTGTAAATAGGTAAGCAGAGGTCAATGTGGTAACGTTGAGCCCCAAACTGTCCATTTAGTTAAATATAAAAACAAAAACTATAAGTTAAAATAACATTCAGATTGTATAGCACAGGCTGATGCATTATTTTTTTTTAAACAATATTTACAATATTACCCAGAGGCTAAGGTGGGAATAAAAGAGAAGTGTAAAAACCATAAAAAACTGCACCAGTTTTGTAGCAAAATATCTGTACATTTAAAAACAGATTATCATATAACTACACATTATCCAAGGAAAAAAAAAAAAGGGACCTTCACCAGTGGTTCACATAAGCACAAGATAAAAGAAAAAGAAATTCAGTGGTTAAATACTATACAATAAACTTTACAATTAACATATCGATGCAGTGAGACCAGGAAAGGTAAGCTGTAAGCAAAATGTATCTCGGAAAGTACAGATTTCTCTTCGGTCCAGTTCTTCAGAGAAGATCACGTACCCTGCCGGCTTCGTCCTGCTGCCCTGGGCCGCTGGTGCAAACCGGCAGCGGGGGTCCCACGGGTGCCACAGCGGCTCTCGTGCCCCTTTGTGAGCTTTAGAAACGCACCGTGTGCCCTCTGCCCAGCGGGACGCTCGGCCTGGGCTTCCCTTCGCTGACCGCCTGGTCCCGAGCGGGGAACTCGAACTGGATTGTCCAAGGAATTTGGAGCGGGGTGTTGATCTGCCAGAGCAGGGCACGGGATGATTCTCCGCACGAGTAACTGAACTGCAGTGGTCCTCAGAATCCTAATACTGATTATTGAGATGTTAATCCCTTAGTGCTAATTAATAAATACACTGTTATTCAAAAGCTGCCTCCAGCTGAAGAACATCAACATGCCTTAGCCACCCTTCTTGTTTTGTGCATTTGCAACGCGTTGTCCCCAGCACCCCGCGCCCCGGCCCTGCGCACCACAGACAGCACAACCGCGAGGTGGAGGCTCGTGTTCGCTTGCGACGCGTCGCGCGGTCGCTGACGTACGTGGTACCGCGTCCTAGCTACGGGGGTGTGGAGTCTGTGCGTGGTGGGAAAAGGTAGGGGGCTCTTCGTGGGGTTATTTCCATATTACATATGGAAAGCCCTTAAATGGCTTCCTTTTTGAAACAAAAAAACCCAAAGCAAAGCCAGTAAGTGCAGCTGAAGCCCAGGGAACTCCCCCGGCAGACAGCACAGGAATGTGTTTCCAAGCAGAGCACGTCCCGGTATTACCTGTTCACAACCAGTCGGGATGCAGGTCAGGTCCGCAGGAGACCAGTCACTAAACTTTTATATAATCAAACCAAACTAAACACCCAAAAACAACACATATTTTACATTTTGGTTAAAAATACTGGATAATGTATTGGTGTAAAAAGATACCCAATCAAATCAAGTCCTATTGCTTTGATTAATTTGAGCAGGTACTTCAATTTTAGGCACTTGTTAGCTACGGTTGAGTGGAGAGCCCATCGCTGCCGGTCCTATGCGTTTTCTAGGTCTCTGAGCCCTTCAGAAGGTAAATGGTCCCGTTCCCAAGGCTGTCAATGGGCGGCAGAACACAGAGTTCACACGGACAGGGTAGCCCTCAAGCTCCCCCTTCCCTTGACCCCTGCAGTCGCCGGCTCACATGGTTATCTCGGCACCGTTTGCAGAGCGCAAGTTCTGATCATCAAAGCGCCGCCGGACGCTTCTCCTCACCGCGTCGGCCCGTCGGTACGGCTGGTTTCTAAGATCTGCGGAGAGGAAAGTGGCGTTCGTAAACACGCACGGCTGGCTGGCGTGCACGCACACACG